CTTTTATATTAGTCTTTTGTTTGATTACTTCATTATGGCACTGGTTGTCTGTCCCGTTCTGCAACAGTGTTTCAGATATGACATTAATGCATATTAATGAGTTCACATGACCATATATGGTATTTTAGTGTGAGCTCTTGTTTAGCATCATCTTAATAATGTAGTTTTCATCTTCCTAATTGCAGCAGTGTTTGAGATATAAAGGTTATGCATATTAATGAGGAGAGAAACCCCACCCCATGGGCGCTCAGTTACAGGACCTAGCCATGTGCCGTTCAGATGCAATAATGTATCTCAGGAGTAGCAAGCACATACAAATGTGCACACCAATCGGGCCAAAACAACACATGTAATTTCTCATTCCCTGTTTTCACAAAATCAAAGATTGCGGCCAAACCAAGTGAACGTTCGAAATGTCATTATTTTTTTCATATGATGCTATGACCGCCCATGTCATATACATATTTATTTAGTTGATCTGTGGATGCACCTTTGAGAAACAAATGCTCAAACTTTTGGTCAATTTTGCATAAATTTCAAGATGGCGGCCAAACCACGTGACTGATAGAAAATATATTACTTTTCTCATATATAGCAATGTCAAGACATGTTCTATTCAAAATCAGCCCCTAAAAATCACAAAAAATATATCAAAAACAAAACTTTAAATAAAACGAAGTATGGATGAAAATGAAACGTTAACAACAGAAAATTAAAATTCACAAAACAATTTTTCACAACTTTTAACTAACATGTCTGGCCATAGAATATCTACATACTATCCTATGTTAACCATTACCAATATCTGTACCCAATACGTAACTACTTCACAACCATGTATCATGTATGAACACACATTGGACTTGAACTAGCTATTTTACAACACAATCAAATCATCACCGGGAGATTGTTTTCACGCAATTTGTCCCTGTTGTCTATGGATTAAACCCCAAATTGCAAACCTTATCATGCCAAAAATCAAAGTTTATTCAAATATTGGTACAGGAAAAGGCTGAAAAGAATTTGTGGCAGCGCGTGTTCGAAATTCGTCTGAACAGACAACGTATGTTACACGCCAGAGGCGGCGGCACTACTTTTTGCATGAGGGGGCGACATCTGCTGACCAACTTTGCGCCGAAGGAGGTCTGCAGCGTGTTCCCTCTAAAACATTTTAAAATCTAGACCCTGTGAAACGCCAATCCCTGCATTGTGAGTGACAAATTTTGCTTACACAAAGACGCCCCCCAACATTGTTTTGAGGGGGCGACTGCCGCCGCCAATGCACGCGATGTGTAGCCACATATCGAGTATGCGCGGCACGACTAGCACTGACGTTTGAATAAAATTACATACATTGATATCCGCGTGGCAGTCATGCATGGCGAAATGAATATGTTGATTTGTGCAATGTAGACACTATTAGACACAGATGGGTAGACGTATTAACCGTTCTTGAGGTGTGAGTTAATTCGGATTTCAAAGACATCACATAGAATAGCAATCAAGAATGTAACCCGTGTTCTTACACGCAACTGGTCGAGATGTGTTCAACAAAACATATTTTTTTCTGTTAGAGAAACGCTTTTCATAGGGTAAATATATTGTCTATATGTCATATTTATTTTCTTTAATCTCACTTATGTTCCCGATAATGGTTTTTCTAATCTCGACACATTTTGTTCAGATTAACTAAACATTTGCAAGCATATCAACTAGTTTATTTATTTATTTTGCTACCTCTTCTTTATGTAAACTTTACGCGAATAAGATCTAAAGCCAAGTAAAAGTATTAAATTTAAATTTAGAGTTTAGAGCAAAATGGATAAGTATTTAAACACACAGCACTGTAAATTATTTATTTCGTAATCGGTTAATTTAAATTGTTCTGGTCAGTAAATTACCATTGTTCAAGGAAAGCAAATTGTACATAGTTAACAATATAGGGAATAAATTGAAATAGCGTATTAATTAAATTTTATCAATTATATCTAAATTGTGTTTACAATTGGCAAATTAGAAGAAATGAATGATATATGTTTTTCGAAAGTGGAAGATTACACTGCGATTTCAGTCGCCCATTCGGGAATATAGACCAATTAGTGTTGGCCATAATCTGCAATTCAATCGTCTAAATACTGGACATACCAAAGCCGCAGTAACATGACCAAAACAGTATTCCAGTAATGATTGACTGTTCTTTAAATCTTTCTATGATACCCAAAAGGAGACTAAAAGGTCCTAAAACCTATTCTTTTCCTAATATATACACCATCGTTTAGAGACATCATCAATAATAACAACATAGAGTAACTCATGTACGCAGATGACACAAAATTATATTTGTTTTTCGAAAATACAGATATGAACAATTCACATATGAAACACTGTGTCATGTGCCAGCAAATGGCGACTAACGCTATCTGATAAAACTGAACTAACGCTAAATCCAACAATTTCAGGAAAACATTATAATTAATTTATCTACATCAGATATTTGATTCTCATATGACAATTTGCAATCAGGATATTTGGTCTGCAAAACAGTATATTGCCAAATTAAAAATATCAACTGAATTAAAAAAAAAATTGTCAGTTGAAGCTGTTTGTCTCTTGGTGCACACATTTGTGACATCAAGATTTTTTTCAGTATAAATAGCGCGTATTTACGCCAACGCGCGCGTGGGAGGTGTCAGTAACGTTACAGTTCCGCGTGAATGCGCAAGGTTAGAATGAAAAACAAGTTGTGAGTAAAGTACGCCATCTTTTATATTCCCGTAGCAGAAAATTTATTGTGGAATTATACATTAAGATTTTTTGAATATATACTAATACATACAAAAATAACACATTATTATTTTTGCTGTTTTTATTATTAAACTGGCATAGGGGTAAGTCGCGGTACCGTGTACATGGTTATATTCAGCTCGAATACATTTCATTGCTCAATATCAATAGTTTCCCGGAGTGTTCATGCTTAGACTGTTAGTACATCAAAATCAGCAACCAACTGTATTATTTTCGAGCAACGCTGGTGTGTCGATCGCAGTCATGGATGTCATAATTATACTGCTAGACCGAATAACATGTATGCCTAGGTGACGGAAAAACATTTTTCCGTTGCATAAATATTTGTTGCTCAATTCTATTACAGCCGGTGATCAATCACAAATGAAAAAAAAAATTCTACTATACCATCAGAGGTTTTTTTCAATCGACGGTTTATTCCCTGCCCACATCCATCAACAATTGTAAATCGAACCGTTTCCAATCGTTGTATAGAAGAAGCTTTTCGTGTTTTTCCGTTCAGTGGTTTTATTCTGCTATAAGTAGTATACTAGTTCAACTTTGAATGTATATTCAAACATGCTGGCTCTTTGGAGGCGCTTACAAGTTGGTACACTGTAAAGTGTAATGGAGAAATCTAGACTAAACACATCAACTTGACAAGCAATTGATATGCAATCACCATCTGAGATTTTCAAGGTATAATAGCGTACGTTTTCCACATATTATCGTGAAGAGAGGGGTGAATGGAGACGAAACCGTGTAATCGGACTGTGTGAATTTATCTACAAGCTTCATGAGAATCAAAAGTAAAAGTAATAATAAAAAAATTATTAAAAATTAATTGGTTGTCGTACATACATGTACACATACATACAATATGGTTTCCTGTTCTAAGAAGAATATTCTTTTTAACTGACTTTTTAAGTGACCGTATCACTCTCTGGTGGCTTCTTTCAATACACGATTTAACATATCACAACTTATATATTCCAAAAATCAAATCTAAATATCATTTCTTATATTATAATTTATTATATGAAATCATAAAATGATAGCCACGTTGCAATAATTTTGTTATGTCCTTATGTCGCCTTTTAGTAGCAATCGTCTCCTAGGACCACGCCTCAGCGCTCCCTTCAATTTAATGTGTGGAGGCGGCTATTTGTCGTGGACCTTTGAAATCGTTGATTCCACGAGTAATTAATTCACTTGTATTGTGTCTTTGTTTTCAATGAACATTATTTTATACAAAATTAAGTTGAGAGTCGGCCATGCTAACTGTTTCGCGGCTCTTTCTACATCCGCACAAATCCCACCAGATATCCCAGTTCAGAGTTGGGTTTCATCTTAAGGAATTATATTATTGTGAGAGAATTCTTTTAGTTTAACGTCTTATACACTTGGTCGCAGTGGAATAGGAAAATATACACGATTACCAAATTATCCAAAAATAGACCAAAATATCTTATCAAATATATTAGGATGTACAATTATATTAGCTTAACCATAATTTACCACGGATCCTATTGAACTATTGTGCTTAGTCATCAGTAAGACAATTTACTATCCTTTCTATAGCTTCCAGACACATGCTTCTTGCTAGACGTCTAAGGACAAAAATGGGAAAATTGAAAACGTGTTATGCGAGCAGTCTCAACACTAATATTTCAACATTTAGATTTACCAAAACTCCATTTACCAAAATAGCTCGCTTTAACGTCTAATTTCCAAGTAACCAGGTAACGTTTATGTGATGTACATTAATGGGTTGCATCACAGACATGTAAATGTTTGCTGATAATCGTATATAAGTTGAAGTTGCTAGTTACAGCTAGGAATCCGTTGACCATCTTAATAAGAAATATGGCGGTAGTTGATAATATCAGTCTCAAAAAATATTAATAAATAATATGAATAAATTTAACTCGTATTGAATATATAAATATATCCTGTCTGTGCATCGCCAGGCAGATCGTAGTTTTGATTTCCGTAGTTTTGATTTCCGTAGTTTTGATTTCCGGACATCAATAGATCATTATATTGTCAAAAACTATATATTATACGGCTTGTAATATTTTTTTAGACAGAACTGCAACGAACCATGAATGTTGTGCATATACCATGGAAGATAATATTACACAATAACATTATACGCGAGTGACGGGCACTGTTAAACCATTGATAAATATTGTGATAAATGTATATTTTTACAGGTGATCCGAATGTTGGTTGCCATTGTCCTAGCTTTTGGAATCTGTTGGTTGCCTATTAATACATTCAATTTGGTAATATCCATCAAAGACGAATACCGCAATTCGCCGTACTATCATGGCTCTGTGATACGGGTCTTCCTGTGCGCACACTGGGTAGCCATGGCACATAGTTGTCTGAATCCTATCATATATACATGTTTGCACGATGAATTCAGGGTAGGTAACCTGTGGGTGAGTACATTAATTACCGTTTTCTGACTAGATACATCACCATCTATGATAAATGATTGTGATAATTAGCGATGCCATCGTTTCAATCATTGGATAGACATTTTGATGCATGATGGGCATGTTTGTTTCAGCTTGGGTTGTAATCCTAGTAGCATATGCATTCTACGTACTTTAGTTGCGTATTTTACTACGTCTAGTCGATATACGTGTTGTGTTATTTTATTTCACAGAGGGACTTCACTCACTTCCGTTCGATATGCAGAAGAACTGTTATACGTAGAGGTAGATCTAAGCGTAGATCGAGTACGACGCAGACGACAACTACATCATTATATCTTAAGAGTAAATATGTTGCTACAACACATGCTACTGTATCCGAGTCCTGTTAAAGACGCCGTCATGTAAGGATTCTTAAACTTCATACTCATTATACGCGATAATCTTCATTTTAAAATAATTACGTATGTCAACAATCACGACAGTCCACTTCACATTGACGGAAGCGCTGAGACATGCTGTCAGGAGACAATTGATGGCAGAGGGATAAAATGACATTATTTCTACGATATTAAGGTTACGTACGCAGTATATATATATATATATCATCGTCCGAATCGCACGGTTCCGTTAAATACGGCCATTCATAACCGGCCCACGAACCCGTGCGTGATCGTGTTAGGAAAAGCTGTATTTCACTGCAGTTAAATTTAATCGTTTAATTGGGTGTGCCAAGGAGATGGCGCCACCAATCAGCATTGCTGTATCATAAATTTGAACGTTGGGGTCATCACAGATTAAAACAATGGCGGCATGGGGCTTTGCGCTAATTAACTCTAATAAGAACAGAAAGGTTGATATATTCGTTGACACGTTTCCAAAATGTTTTATTACAACGTCGAAAATTGATTGTGGGCAAGTGAATGAAGACAAATTCCATCCATTCCATCTAAACATTTGTGCGTGAAAAAAAATGTCAAAACTGATATCGACATATCGACTTGCCCGATCCGGTCTTCGTTGCAACAAACACATCATTTCCCTCAGATACAGCACTAAGCGCTTTCGTTTGATGGTCAGTAAGCTCGTTCACAGAGCAAAAAGCTAGCAACACGTTGATTTTTATATTCCACTATTTTAACTTTACCAAGTCTGTGTCGTTTCTATCGTGAGTTCTGATTGGGTAATGCAAATGAGCCCGATTGAATTTTATAATCGCTTGAGGGCGAGCGACTAAATTGTGGTGAAATCTGACAAGGGTTAATGTTGAGGCCTCGGCCGAATAAATGGTCCTTGGCTGGCGAAGATGTATATATATATATATATATATATATATATATATATATATATATATATATATATATATATATATATATATATATATATATATATATATATATGCGTACACATACATATTGTGTCCTCATTTCATTGTATGCCCTATATAAGTGACATGTTATAAATGTTTCTTTTAAAAGTGTAATACATAGAAACTATAATATAAAACTTATTTCAAGTTCGAATCCATCCTGGAAGCGTAGCACATGTTGTATTAGGTTAAACAGTTGTTTTTTTGCTTGTGCGTTGTTGTGTTCATAAGTGCTATAATATTAATCTGCCAGTGTTGTGTTTTGTAGATTAAACGTAAAGATTTAACAAGTTCAAGTATAACCGGCATTATGTTTGAGCAAATGAGACAGAGCTGACAGCGTATTATAACACAGGGATAACAAAATGCCACTCATGTAACATGCGAACTCTAACAATAGTTAGAGCGCCCCCATCTATCAGCTCACAAATTTGCTGTAAACAACTTCCTTAGAGTGCTCTGTATAGGAGCGAGATACTAGTGAAACATAGGCTTATTTTTCATTCAAAATGCAGAAACAATGTCACTCCGTGATGCCTCTAGTATTTTGAGTCTAAACATTCTCTATACAGGAAATGAAAATAACTTGCCTGGTAACTTCACAAAATATTGAGAAACACATTATATAGTATACAAATTAACGGGCCAATTTTTATGGTTGTGTTTCTACTGTATTATTTTTTTTATAAATCATATCATCATCAATACATTTGGTAAACAAGCATAACATTATTATTGTATTAGTGAAAAAAAATGTGTGTTAAAAAATAAGAAAAAAAAATTGTTGGTTAACTGAAAAATGATGACCTTTCATAAAACAGTTCCTCTTGGCATTCTTCATCGCCCAACAGAATGCAAGTCGCCCTCTAGCGACCACCAATTTTAGTTTCTAGACCGAACACATTCAGGATGTCAACGTTATTCCCCATGTTAAATCATGATGGCGAAACTATTACAACTTTTAATAGATAATAACATTTTTAAATAACATCCGTTATTGAATGAGAGATAACTGTGACTTTCAAATGATTTATAATCACTTTATAATAACCTGATGGTCGTTGTTAATTTATTTGATGTTTAATTAAATTGTGGAAATGTACACATTAATTACACTGACGCGAGTAATTCTTCTGATATAATTAATTGCGTAATATATATTCTTCATGTCACTTTGCTCACCTGCTTTTATTTGTTGCTAGCATTTGAAAGGTATTTGTATGCACGTATGTATGTACGACCAACAACATCCCAAATTATCTATAATATCTCAGAAAATAGATACATTGATGCAATGACTAAATCTATATACATGTTGCATATGTTACAACCTAACTATGATTTTTAGGTGCCTTCTTCACGTCACGTTATATGTATTTAGTAGGTGTAACTCCTTCGTGAACATGACCCCACACCACTCACCCAGCGACTTGTACACACATCATAGATTCGATTTAAAATTAAAACTACTGCTCCAAAACCTACCTGTGTAATCTCTGATCAGCAATTGAATGGCGCTCTCTAGTGGTCAAATTTGGGACTTGTTACTCAGTCAAGAAACATGCGAGACACTAGTTAAAACAAATCCTAAATGCTTAAAACTGAAAATTTACTGATCATTTTTCAATGATAATATAGTGTTCAAATAATTTCAGTCATATTAGGCTTCGATTTATATTATTGATTTGTTGACTTATTACGCAATGGTATAATAGAAATACACGACACATACATGTAACGTAATGTAATAAGACATGCAGTAATACGATCAATAATGTCATGTTGATAAATACGCTTGCAGAAGTCAATAGGTTAATGGTGTGGATCGTAAGGCACTTCATTCATGATACTACACTCGTAATATGACAGCATGATTATGTTGTGTTAATTTGATATGACTCTGCCTTGTGAAACAGGGTTATTAACCTTTTGGTTGCAATTGTAAAGTATGTAGAAGCCGATTAAGGTGATTTAAATTAATTTACATATATGTATTGGAAAACATATTTATCATTTTCTTCATTTGTTAGTACATGTAGTAGCCCAACACACCTCAGCAGCATCGTCGATCCATATAAATACACAAACACTACTGTGTCATATATTTCATTTTTTTTTAAATTAATGAACTATTAATATTAAGTATAAATGTGGAAATACAACAAAGATATGTGTATACTTCTACGTTTAAAAAAAGGACTGAATTGGAATTGGGATTGAAAGATTCAAAAAAGTTCTGGAGCATTTTGCGCCGTTTATCGCCCATACCTGTTAGTATCCAACCTGATGAGTGGTTTGATTATTTTAGTAAATTATTTACTCCCTGTGATTCATCAGGACAGGATGATTTCCCTCCTTCTGACGAGTTTTTAAATTTAATTAACAGTGTTGATATTTCTTTTGGAGTAGAGTCGGAAGCAAACTGCGAGTTTTTAAATAGTCCGATATTGGGTGAAGAAATTATAGTAGCGGTTCGCAAGTTAAAATATGGCAAATCACCCGGTCCGGATGGATTACTAGGGGAATTTTTTAAATCGAATATAGATTATTTTTTGCCGTACTTCATTGTGCTATTTAACAGATTATTTGATTTAAGTATTTTTCCTCAGCAGTGGTCAAGGGCTATCATTGTACAACTTCACAAAAACAGTTCACTAAACTGACCCGATAATTACAGGGGAATATCTCTACTAAGTATATTTAGCAAAATATTCACGTCCATTCTAAACCGACGTCTCGGTTTCTGGTCGGAGGCCTTCGGAAATATTGACGAATCACAGACTGGTTTTCGTGGTGGTTATTCAACTGTTGATAGTATCTTCATTTTACAGTGCGTTATTCAAAAATATCTGTCTAAAAAACGTGGAAAATTTTACTGTGCATTTGTCGATTTTTCCAAGGCCTTCGACACGGTTGAACGCCAACGATTGTGGTATATCTTCTGAGGGTGGTGTTACAGGTA